CCTCTTCCAGTTACGTTTCTCCTGCAGTGGTTGCTTTGAGAGACAAACTCTCGGTGAGTAGCGGTGACGAGAAGGACGTAAACTTCCTGCTTGTGTAGCTTTTGACGGAAAGGAAGGGCTATGGGTAGCGACAAAACAAACAAACAAACAAAAAAACAAAAACGAGGAGTGACGCCTCAGGCTCTGGAGTTGTATTCGTTTACACTTTGGGTGAGCACGCGCACGTGGTGTGTGTGTGTGTGTGTGTGTGTGTGTGTGTGTGTGTGTGTAATTGGCCGTGCACAGATGTGGAGGCCAGTCCGAGGACATCTGGAAATTGATTCTCTCCTTCCACCTTTACGCGGATTTTGGACTTGAACTCTGGTTTGCATCACAACCACCTCCCAGGCTCGGTTCTGGGATTTTTTTTTTCTTTCTCTTAATGTAATGGATCCAGACTTAGAAATCACCTAGCATTTCTGCTGTTTCCACTCCACAAGATCTCACGTGGCATATTTCTGGCAACTTCAACTGGCAAGTGTGAAACAAACTCAGGAGACCCTCCAGACACAATCCTTTATCAGGGCCTTACTGAGTTATTTTTAAGTGGCTATCAAGAGACACCATGAGCAAAGCAATGTATAAAAGAGAGCATTTAGTTTGTAGGCTTATTTACAATTTCAGAGCGTGTGTTCCTGACCATCGCATCAGGGAGAATGAGGCAGGCATGTTGCTAGCGCAGTACCTAAGAGCTTACAGTGCAGTGCGGAAAAAAGACCAGGTAGAGAGTTAACTCCAATGGTGTAGGCTTTTGAAAGCTCAAAGCCCAACCCCAATGGCATATCTCCTCCAGCAAGGCCACACCTGTTCCTTAGCAAACAGTTCCACCAACTGGGACAACACATTCAAGCATATGAGCCTATGGGGGCTAGTCTCATTCAAATCACCACAGGGGCTAAGAGGCCACCAGGGTGTTTGGAGCCTCTGAGCCACATAGGGGATAAACGCACCTAGGAAAGTCATAGCTTATGTCTGAACTTAACCCCAGTGAGTTCAGGTCGGCTGAAATGTGTGCTGAGAAGAGGCGAGTAGGACCTTTTTTTTTTTTTTTAAATATTTATTTATTTATTTATTATGTATACAATATTCTGTCTGTGGTGCAGGCCAGAAGAGGTCACCAGACCCCTTTACAGATGGTTGTGAGCCACCATGTGGTTGCTGGGAATTGAACTCAGGACCTTTGGAAGGGCAGGCAATGCTCTTAACCTCTGAGCCATCTCTCCAGCCCCAAACTCTAGGACCTTTAAAGGGCCACAAGTGCTCACCACCTGAAGTCAGACCTGAGAAGGAGAGAGTCAGAGAGATCCTCGGTGCAGTAACAGGGCATCTATAGCTTCACCTCAGTTACAGTCCCTGAAATAGAAGGTAAAATAGAAGGACATATTTGTCCAAACCACCACAAACAAGAAATAAAAACTGTGGTGGTCTGAATAAGAATGGCCTCCACAGGCTCATATTTAAATACTTAGTCATCTAAGAATGGCCTTATTGGAGGAGGGTTAGGAGATGGGGCCTTGCATGGCAGGCCCAGTTCTCTCTCTCCCTGCTACCTGGGGATCAGGATGTAGAACTCTCAGCTACTTCCCCAGCACCATTCTGCCTGTGTACAGCCATGGTCCCTGCCATGATAATAGACCAAGCTTCTGAAACTGTAAGCCAGCCCCTAATTAAATGTTTTCTTTTATGAGTTGCCTTGGACATGGGATCTCATCACAGCAATAGAACATTACTGAGACAGCCTTCTGCACATCAGCAAGTCACGGCGGGTCTGAACAGTTAACTCAGGACACAAAAGGGTTCCCTTAAATTTGTTTTTTGTTGTTGGTTTTTGAGACAGTGTCTCTTTCTGCAGTCTTCAGAACAGGTCTTGAAGTGGAGGTGCAGGACTATTCCATCCAGTGGAGAATTCAGTGTAGTCTCTGCCATCAAGTCTCTGCACAGAAGTATCAGTGAAGTGGGAGGGTGCTCCTGGGGAGCAGCCGTGGTCGCTGTTGCATGGCACTCTGCAGTAGCCATTGCAGCAGTGGCAGCACTGGTGACTTCGTGGAGCACTTTTGGGTAATTAGCTGTGAGAGGTGCAGCAGAAACCAGTGATGTATGTGCTCAGAGGTGACTGGTATGTAACGAACTAGGGAATATAAAAACATAAAAATGGGAGGAGGAAGAGACCAGCACATTCAGCCATTTAGTTATATAAAAAGCAGAAGCCAGTGTTTGAGGGAGCCTTGAGCCAAGTCAGCTTTCCCTCCGTGCCCACCAGGAAAGTTCCCCTAAATTGGCCATGGTATTTATTAAAGTCCCATCTACTAATTCAAGCCTCCCATAATATCCCCTCTCATGCCCCCTATCCTCTCCCAGCCTCTGGCCTACTTTTTGGAAGGTTTTGTTGTCAGAGAAGATGGGACATCCAGGATAATCACATTGGGACAGTTCAGACAGGCAATTCTCTGCTTTGGTCATTTGATTCCTTTATAATATGTGGGAGCAGACAATCATTTCCCTTGATACTTGAGTTTGCCTCAGCACTGTTGAAATTGCACGAGCCCTGAGTTTGTTCTCTGCATTCTCTAGATGACTGCATGGCCTTCAGAATGTCACTCATCTGTAACTTCTTCCACGTACCCTGACCTGCCTTAAAATTATAGACAGCCCTTGGACTGGACAGATATCTCAGTGGTTAAGAGCACTGTTCTTTCAGATGACCTAAGCTTGATTCCTAGTAGCCATGATTAGAACCTTCCTGCTTCTCAATCTCAGATCCCCCCATTCACTTCATAGCATCTGTAATCTTATACAGTCCATAGCTGTTGGGTCTCCTATCTGCTAATACGCCCTACCACAGTGTTAGAAAACAGTCTGAGACTGGACCTTCTTGTGTAGCCCAGGTTGGCCTTAAGCTTTGAACCCTACTGCCTCAACTTCCCAGGTGCTAGTACTATAGGTGTGTACCGTCATTCCCAGCTCATAAATACTTATTGAACCAATGAGATATGGTTTTGCTATAGTTAAATCTTTCCTCCTTAAATTTGTAATCCGCTTGGAGGACTTATAAAATGTCATTCAAAACAGTTGTGTTTAATTGTTTGTGACCGTATACTTAAGTGTTCTTTCATGCACCAAGGAGCAAAAAAAGAATTAAATATTCTATTGTATTCTCTCAGAGAGAGCAAAAATCTATGGGAAAAGGGAACAGGAAACAAGACTGTCCTGGTCAGTGTCTCAATTAACAGGAGAGCCTCCATTCCTTCTACAGCCCACACTGTAAAAAGATCATGAGCAATCTGGCCACCGGATTGACCACAAACCCCACCACTTAACCTGCTTCTGTCCCCTCAGGCTTTGCCCTCCTTTCTCTTACAGTAAAATGTTTATAGGTCAGTCAGAAGCTAGTCACCATTTGTGGTTTGGATCCTGTCACCTGTGTAAAGTTGTGATTCTAGAGTCTCCCTCTCTACACCACAGTGACTGCTTCTCAGTGCGTCACTCCCATCAACCCACACCGCCCACTAATGCCACCTCTCAAAACTAAGGGCTCAGAGGCCGCTCCTTTCAGTCCTGTGTCCGTAACAACGACAATATGGACTGTCATTTTGCAGTTTTCTTCTCAGTATAGTTCGACTGTCTTGGATTTTAAATTCTCCACTAAAACTTGATAAATTCTATGACACTCATGTAAAGCCCCGCACCCCAGCACTCTGACTCCCATTTCACCTCCGTGGCCCCTTCCCTACAGGACAACCACATAACAATACTGAGCCCTGAGAATGACTTCACTACCTTGGAGTGTCAGTCCTACCTGCTTTGGCTCTGTTTGAAAGCTGGCAGGACACTCCCTTCAGCGGATGGGAAGAAAGGCCCTGGTGAGAGGCTGTGGAAAGAGTGGTCAGGTGGTGCTGTTTGGGAGGCAAGGGCTAAGTGCAAGAAATTCTGGAGAGAACTAGGCCAACGGAGTAGAAATAAGAGAATGGGAATGGGGACAGGCAGACATAGCCTGGGCACACTACAGTGAGCTGCAGGTAAGACAGGAGAGGTGAGGGGAAGTGGGCAGAGGGTATAACCTATAGAGAGCTGTGTTATTGAAGCGCCAACCTAGGGAAAGGACAGAAGGACATGTTATGTCCATGATTCTTCAGCTGTGATAGAATACCCGGACAAAAGCACCCAGGGGAGAAAGTTCTAGGTTACAATCCATCATTTGGGGAAATCCAGAGACAGCTGTTTATATTGCACCCACAGGCAAAAATCAGCAAACATGCTCCCTTGTTTTCATTCATTCACTCTGGGACCCAGTCCACAAAATAGTTCCATCCAGTTCAGGGTAGGTCCTCCCCTCTTACTTAACTGGTTTAATTAGCAAACTATTTCACAAGCAAGCTCACAGGCCAGCTAATCTAGACAGTCTGTCATTGAACCTTCCAAGTGATCCCAGATCTAATTTATACAATTGATGTGTCTCCATCTACATACAATTGAGGAGACTGAGGGCTGTTCACTCTTTAAAAAAATAGAGGATATGTATGTATGTATATATAGGGTTTTCGTGGGGGTTTTTTTTGTTTCTGTTTTTTTACTTTTGTTTTTGTTTTTTTGTTTGTTTTTGAGACAGATATCACTGCCGTGAGGACCAGCCTCCAGCAGTAGCTCTGGGCTCAGTGGGAATCCATGGAGTCAGTGAACTAGGACAAACAGACACAGGCCAAAGCTTAGTTCTTCATTTTATTATTTTGTCTGCTGCTTGTTCTGCTCTCTTCTTCTGATGCTTCCCTTCTGTCTGACTTCCATTCTGCATCTTTCCATGGACATAAAGGATGTGGTGCTTTGAATGTAATTGATCCCCATAATCTCATAAGGAGTGACACTATTAGGAGATGTGGCTTTGCTGGAGTGAGTATGGCCTTGTTAGAGGACTTGTACCACTGTGTGGGTGGACTTTGATGTTTCCTATGCTCAGGATACCTCCCAGTGTCTCAGAAAACTTCCTGTTGCCTGCAAGATGTTGGACTTCGGGCTACTCCTCCAGCACGACATCTACCTGCATGCTGCCATGCTCCCTGTCATGATGATAACGGACTGAACCTGTAAGCTGCCAACCTAATTAAGAGTTGCTGTGGTCACAGTGTCCCTTCACAACAGGCACCCTAATAAGACAGAGGAGGATAAGAAGCTGCCAGTGATCTTGTGGTAAAGTGAAAGGGTGTGGTAACTAGTTAGTGGCAGGTGTGGAGAGAAGGGTTACAGGTGCTGAGAGCTCTGTGTGGGTGGTGGTCACACAGAGGTATGAGGAAGAGGGTTAAGGCAGGTGTGGTGGTGCATGCCTTTAAGACCCAGACTCTGACGGCTAAGAGAGCTGCTGCAGCAGGACTTTCTTCTCAGAACCTTTAGCCCACAAATAACAACATGGGACTTTTTATTAATTATAAAAGCTTGGCCTTAACTTAGACTTGCTCCTAACTAGTTCTTATAACTTACATTAACCAGCAATTTTTAATCTACATTCTCCCACAAGGCTCACTTCTTCACTGCCTGTCCTACTTCCTCCATATCTGGATGGTGATTCTACCTTTCTTCCTCCCTGAGCTCTCTCTCTGCCCGAAGTCCCTACTCTATCTCCTGCCTAGCTGTTGGCCATTCGGGTTCTTATTACACCAGTCACAGCAACACATCTTCACACAGTGTACAAATAGCCCACAACAGACTGCCGTGAGTTTGAGGCTAGCCTGGGCTACATAGTGAGTTGGAAGCTAGTCTGGCATGCACAGTGAAATCCTGCCTCAAAACAAGACAGGTAAGAGGGACAGCAGATTTTCAGAGGCATGCAGAACTTGAGGGGAAGTTTGAAGAACAGTACAGCATGTTCTGTAAAGTCTCCCCAGAGTCTGCTCTATGCCAGGGCTACTTCCCACCAGCTCCTCTAGTGTAGGACCAGGACTGTCACTCTGTACAGGGATCTCGGACAGTTCCTCATCTAACTTCCCATACACAAGTTCCCTTGTGATCTTTACCTGTTTCTCTTTTGACCCTCAGCATCTCTGCAACTTGCTATGTGAACCAGGCTGCCCTCCAACTCTGCCTCTGCTTCTGTTCTGGGATTAAAGGTGTGTACCATCATGCCTAGCTCCCCATCCCGCCCCACCCCCCTATTTTAAAGCAGAGCAAACAGATTTGAGAAGTGAGAAAGAACTCCTGAGAGTGGTAGAGTCTCCAAGGGAGAAATGCCCATTTAATGTTTCTCAAAGCCATGTGCCAAGGGAGGTGTGTTTATTCTGAGATGCTCTGTAGGTAACAAGAGACATGGAAATGCCTTTTAGTATATACCATAAGTCAGTGTTTCTGCACAGAGCCCTGCTTTTGGACAGCCTGGGCTGGCCTTCTTTCACTTGGTTCATCCCATCAGTGTGAAGATTCCAAACTTAGCTGTCTTTGTAGTAACCACCTTCCCCCGGCATGCTAGGTTTTTCTAGAAGATTCTTTGGATGTGACTTATAAGGAAGGTTACTTCTTACACTTGGGTGGCTTCACAGCTTTCATGCTCGTCTTACTGAAAGGAGACACCGCTATGGCTGAGGCTCTCGTACACAAGTCATGTTCAATGTTTTTTATGATTTTAAAAATATTCTGATGTATGCCGGGCGATGGTGGCGCACGCCTTTAATCCCAGCACTAGGGAGGCAGAGGCAGGCGGATCTCTGTGAGTTCGAGACCAGCCTGGTCTACAGAGCTAGTGCCAGGACAGGCTCCAAAGCCACAAAGAAACCCTGTCTCGAAAAACCAAAAAAAAAAAAAAAATCTGATATTTATCATTTTTGCTTTTTTCTTCTTCAAAATGAATTAGTTGAAATGCTGAGCATGTCAATTCCAACTGACCCAGTGCTGTCTTGGCCTCCCCTTCCCCTTACACCTTACCTGTTCAGAACCCTCCAAGGTTTTAAGCCTGTCATCCACCCAGCCTCCTTCCCCAAAGACAGTGGCTATCTGAACCCCTTCTGGTGGGCCACCTTGTCTAAGTGTTCCAAGACTCGAGCAAACACCACATTTTCTGTTTCCAAGTTCATACAGAAGCTGCCTTACAGAGTCCTCCAACAGGTGGGTGATGGTTTGACTTATGAGCATGTCCTTCGGAACTCGTACACGCCACACTACTCACTCTTGCACCTCACGACTGACGGAAGTGTAACACTGACTCTGTGAGATGGAATGTCCACCAACAGAGTGTGTGGATCAGCAGCTACACTTTCAGCCTTGTTTGGGGACTTGACAAAGGGATGCAATGGGATGAAGGCAAACATAGAGTCAGGAAGCCAAACAGGATATAATGCCAGTAGGTCACATGTTCAGTGCACAAGCACAGGGACCCGATTCATATTCCCAGAACCCACATTTTTAAAAAGCTGGGTACAGTGCTGCATGTGTGTAGTCTCACCACCATGGAGATAGAGAATAATGGATTCCTGGGGCCAGCTGGCCACCGAGCCTGCCCTATTTGGTAAGTTCTATACCAACAAGAGACATTGTATTCTCAAACAACATGGATGACTCCTGCAGAGGGACACCCAAGTTTGTCCTTTACCTTAGATACCCAAACACACACACACACAGCAAATAAGTGAACATAACTTCAGGAATGAATATTTAATCATGTGTTACTGTCAGTTCACGTGGAAACGGAACATTCTTTACAGTGTCCATCAAGATGATCTACCAAGGTCATGGACTTTGGGTGATTTTCTAATCTTGGTCTGTAAGAAAGAAAGAAAATTATGTAAAAATGGGGGGAGAGAATTAAAATAGTGAATATGGTAAAAAAACAACACCATTATTTTGGCATATTTCCCTCTCACTTTCAAGAAGTTGTCATTTAGGATCAAAATATGAGACACTAAAATGATGAAACTTTTCAACACAAAGTGTGTGGACCATCCTCCGTGTGAACCATCCTCAGTGAGGACCATCATCAGTGTGGACCATTCTCAGTGTGGACCATTCTCAGTGAGGACCATTCTCAGTATGAACCATCCTCTGTGAGGACTATCCTCAGTGTGGACCATCCTCAGTGTGGATCATTGTCAGTGTGGACCATCCTCAGTGTGAACCATCCTCAGTGTGGACCATCCTCAGTGAGGACCATCCTCAGTGTGGACCATTCTCAGTATGAACCATCCTCTGTGAGGACCATCCTCAGTGTGGACCATCCTCAGTGTGGACCATTCTCAGTGTTAACCATCCTCAGTGAGGACCATCCTCAGTATGAACCATCCTCTGTGAGGACCATCCTCAGTGTGGATCATTGTCAGTGTGGACCATCCTCAGTGTGAACCATCCTCAGTGTGAACCATCCTTGATGCATGTGAATAAAATACTGGGCCACAATCTCATTATATTTAATAGAGTCCTTAAAATTTACTTAGGTCAAGATTCAGTTTTAAAATAAAAACCTACAAAACCTCCTGGAAAGTGAAGAACTAGGAGCAAAATCAGACATGGGGTGGGGTGGGGGGTGAAGATGGCTCAGTGACTGAGAGCACTCGCTGCTCTTGCAGAGGACAGAGTTTGGTTCCTAGCACTCATGGCAGGCTTCTGTCAATATCCTGTAACTCCAGATCCAGGGGGGTGCAAAGCCTCTGCTTCTGTGGTCATCTGCAACCACATGTGCACGCCCACACAAAGACATATACATACATGAAATAAAAACATTTTAAAAAGCTAGCCATCTGGGACTGTTTTCAATCCCAAAGTTCCACTGCTAGAGACAACTGGACAAATCAGCACTGTAAATTTGAGAAGATGCAGAGGAAGTCTCACTGCACTGAAGAGTGCACTGAGGTTAGAGGTTACTCAGGACCAGAGTTTGTCATGGCTGAAGCCTGCAGGGCTCTGGAGTTTTCACACAGATGGACATAGCAGCTGGGGAGTGCCTTGTCACTCTTTCCCTTATTTCACAGTCAATAAATCCGTATAAATAAACTCCAAATTCAGTGTAAGAATAAGCTATATGATAAGTGAAAAAATGTCTCAACTGGTAAATGTATAAAATGGTATAAAAATACTCTTAAATGCTTCTAGAAAAAAACTTCCCTAGTGTATTTCTACAACTCAGAGAAAATTCAGGCTGTTTTGGAAATCAAAACTGAACAGAATTAAACTAGTGTTTGCAAAGTGATCATATAAAATAATTGATTTTTTTCCTAAATTTCCAGTTTTAGTATATGTACTGCTGAAACTAGGACCCAACTCTGTACTGACAGTCAACCTAAAAGACTGTGTATGTGTCCTGTAGCATTGGGTTACATGACTGACTACCTGGCTACATGACTAAGACTTTTCCTAAAATTACAGACTTTAAGATTTCATGTTACTGAAAGGAGTCAGTTTACAGACATGGAAAAGGGGATAAGCACCTCAGCTCATAACCTTTGCAGTATCTTGCTTATAGCTGCTATGAGGGCCGGCTGCAGCCTTCTAACTTGTACCTTGGTAGGTGGAACGTGCCTGTAATCTCAAAACATGGGAGCACTTAGTGAAGGGTTTTGTGTTGTCATCTGTGCTGCATAGCAAAAAATAGTTCAAAAAACAGTCAACCCAGACATAAGACCATCTCAAAATAATATAAACAAAACTTGTTTCTGACACAGTATCTTGCTAAACTTTGCAGGCAAGCCTCCAGAAATAGCTCAGGATTTTAGATTATGTGCCACGCTGTAAGGCCTACAAGAAAACTTGGATCAAACAATATTTTATACTAGAAAAATATGAAATACTTCATTTTTATCTTAAAGATATATTTTTTAAAAAGGAATGAAAACTTACCTTGGCCTTCTGGCTTTCTCTTTAGGCATTCTAATTAAATCTTCCAAATGTCTGTTTCTCTCCTCCAAACTTAAGGAAGAAACAATTGCATTTTACACAAAAATGGACTTTTTTTATATTTATTTATTTGTTTGTTTGTTTATTTATTTATTATGTATACAATGTTCTGTCTGTGTGTATGTCTGCAGGCCAGAAGAGGGCACCAGACCCCTTTACAGATGGTTGTGAGCCACCATGTGGTTGCTGGGAATTGAACTCAGGACCTTTGGAAGAGCAGGCAATGCTCTTAACCACTGAGCCATCTCTCCAGCCCAAAAAAATGGACTTTTCAAGATGAATATTTTTTAAGGATTTATTAATATACAGTACTCTGCCTGCATATATTCTTACAGGCCAGAAGAGGGTACCAGATCTCATTGCAAATGGCTGTGAGCCACCATGGTTGCTGGAAATTGAACTCAGTACCTTTGGAAAAGCAAGCAGTGCTCTTAACTGCTGAGCCATCTTTCCTGCACCTCAAGATAAATATTCTTTAGATTCTCTGGAGGCTGTCTTAGTTACTATTTTACTGCTGTGAAAACACACCATGACCACGGCAACTCTTATAAAGGTAAACATTTAATTGGGGGCTTGCTTACAGTTTTAGAGGGTTGGTGCCTCATCATTATGGCTGGAAGCAGGCAGGCATGGCACTGGAGTTGTAGCTGAGAGCTTTACATCCTGATCCATCAGCACCAGGCAGAGGGAGACAGACACTGGGCCTGGCATGGGCTTTTGAAACCTCCAAGCCCATCCCCAGCGACACACTTTCTCAACAAGGCCACACCTCCTAATCCTTCCTAAACAGTTCCACTAACTGAGGACCAAGCATTCAAAGCTATGAGGCTATGGGGCCATTCTCATTTAAACCACCACAGAGACTGTGAGTCAATACTGTCAGGATTATGAGCTAAAATTGTTACCTATAATACAATTACCCTGTTAAATATTTTATGATCAGATTTTCTCATAGCTAACATTAAATCCAAAGTTAATCATACATAATCTGTCTGTCTCACAATACAGGAATCTGGGTCTTTTCCTGGCAATTCAGAATATGTGGTCAGTTTTTTCCTTTTTAGGTTACAGGGCTAAAGATAAGACTAGATAATGGCAAATCCATAGCATGCCATTTAGGTATTGTTTGTTTGCAATAAGGTCAGTGTAATATAGCTCTGGAGTATGTGTATTAACAGAGTTCCTTATCTGAGGCTGCTTTACCACAGGAAAAGCAGCAAGGTCAGAGGCCAGGCTGGGCTCCTGAACCAGTGGCATCCCCATGCGAAATGAGTAATAAAGCAGCTTATTCTGAAGCAGGTCCTGAATTAGTTCATCCTAAACACACACCCTAGTTTTCCTACTTCTAAGAGTCAGGGTAAAAGGTCTTAGAAGCCAGAGGATGAAATAAAACACCAATTAATATTCACAAAATTTAAAAGATTAGTTTTATTAACTCACTGTGCAATCTGAGAATGGGATATCTCAAGTCTTTGATCAGCACACTTGATAATTTCTTCATATGATGTTACCTTGAGAAAATAAATATATATTTTTTAATAAATACAAATATTTGTGTTTAATTTGATTACTTTCTCCTTTTTTAAAATCTTTATAAGTTGAGCCAGGCAGTGGTGACAGATGTCTTTAATCCCAGCACTCAGGAGGCAGAGGCAGGTAGATCTCTGTAAGTTGGAAGCCAGCCTGGTCTGCAGAGTGAGTTCTGCAACAGCCAAGGCTACACAGAGAAACCCTGTCTCAAAGCAAACAAAACAACAACAACAACAAAAAAAAACTTTTACAAGTTGAATTGTTTGGTTACAATAAATGAAAATCACACAAGAGACCACGCATCCTTTTCTATTTTGATCTCAGGAGATGAGCATCAGTGAGTTAGGTCTGGAAATGGGAGTCCCAGAAACTTGACAGCTCCAGCAAGCGCATTGTAATCTGCCTGTCTTCCACACAATGATACCGATGATACAAGGCCAACTAAGGATTACAGCCTATTTGGTTAAAATCAATGCAGTCCTTATTTGTGTGTGTGTGTGGGGGGGAGGGCTGAGGCAGTAAAATGTGAGATTCCAAGGCCAGCCTAGGCTAAGCGTGGAGACACTATCTCAAAAGATCAAAATGAAAACAGAAAGTAAACTAAAACACTAAGTTGGAAAGATAATTACTTCAAGGGTAATGTAGGGAAATTAAGATTTAAAGTGCCTGGAGCAAGGTTCTTGGCCACTTTCCAGCTAATAGGGGCATTTAATGTGCTTATGAGGTAAAAGGGCTTGGCAAACCTCAGATCCTTTTAGCTCAGGAGTTCCATTAGCTCTGTGTTTGGTTTTGTTTTTAGTTTTTCGAGACAGGGCTTGGTTTTTCTGTTGCTTTGGAGCCTACCCTGGAACTAGCTCTTGTAGACCAGGTTGGCCATGAACTCACAGAGATCCACCTGCCTCTGTCTCTCAAGCGCTGGGATTAAAGGCCTGTGCCACCACTGCCCAGCAGGAGTTCTGTTAGCTCTGACTTGATGTTTGTGTTGAACTTTATCGTTGCTTGGTTTGGTTTTTGTACTGAGGACCAAACCCACGTTAGGCAGGAGCTCTGCCAGCTGAGCCATATCCCCATCATTTATTGAGCCTGGCATCATTTTTTGATGGTTTTGTTTGCTTGTTTTCCTGTCAGAAAACATGTACCTTATTTATTAAGCTGCCTACATGTCTCCGGTACTTGTCATTCTCCTCGATGAGTCTGCTGTAGTGGTCTTCTTTGCTCTCTAGAAGGCCCCCCAACTTTGTGATCTATGGAGAAACATCAGTGAAAATGTAACCTGGAAACCACCATGAAACAGGTGTGAAAAATGAAAACAGTCAGCTACATTTTAGTCCAATATCTCTGAAACCGAGTTCCACTTAAGTGAGTCGTGACATAGACAGTTGGATCTGGGGGTAGATTGCATACGAACACACCAGCAGGAATTATGATGGACTTTCATTGATTCTGTTATTTCCTATATGAAATGGCTTTGTAAATAACCAAGCATCTGCTGGTACCTACGGACATTAACTACATCCTGCTTTCCCACCATCCCTTGCATAGATGACACATGCAGGGACACGTTTGAGTCTGAGGCAGAGCAGTGGTGTGGGTGATGATACATGAGACAGACCTTCCCTTGCAAATGATGCTCGTCTCTAAGTTCCAGCTTAATGTATATCATGGTCCAGCCTATTGTCCAGTTTTTGCAAGAATATTATTGAAAATTAATGACTATAAGGCAAGATGGCAAAGTGGGTAAAGGCCCCTGAAGCCACAAGTGGTGACTTGAGTACTAAACCCTTAGACCCATGAGGAAAGGGGAATCAACTCCTGCAAGGTGTTCTCTGCCTCCATGTGTGCCATGGTACTTTGCATGCCAGTATGGCTTTATACACACACACACACACACACACACACACACACACACCAAATGTAATAAAAGTTTTAAGTAAAAAATTAATTTTTTTCTGAAAGGGGCATTTAGGGCCATCAGGAAACCTTATTAACATTTTCTTTGCAAGTTTCTTTCTTTTTTTATTTTTTTTCCCTCAAGACAGGGTTTTTCTGTGTAACAGTCATAGCTGTCCTGGAACTAGCTCTTGTAGACCAGGCTGGTCTCGAACTCACAGAGATCCACCTGTCTGAGTGCCAGGATTAAAGGCGTGTACTATCACCACCTGGCAAATTTTCAAAGCAATATCAGAAGAAAAACTAGAGAAAACTTCCCAATAAGTAGCAGTGCTAAGAGTAATTTCCAACCTTCTCACACTTGAAATATACTTCTGTGTCTGCAGGGGATCTGTGCTGGAGAAACTGCAACACCCCATTCCTCTCTTCCTTCCCTCTCCATTCCAAGCATGTGAGAAGAACCAAGTGCCTACAGTGTGTGATGTGTGAGCTCTGCTTCCAGGCTATTTTATTTTATATTATTTTTTTAATTTGGAAGCAGGGTCTCCCTAAGTTGACCAGGCTGGCTTTAAATTCNAAATTAGACTCAAACTTGAAACCCTCCTTCCCCAGTCTTCAGGGTTATGGGATTTTAGGCATGCATCTCCACTTTTTTTTTTCTCTTTCAAAGGTTAATGACTATGCAGCAAATATTGTGCATATTTCTGCTTCTAAGTGGTTTAGAAATACAAGGATAGACACCTGTGCTATACCAGCGACCTTGTCAGTCTTTGTCATTATAGTGAGACCCATAGGGCTTTCTAGTATTATTCAAATTGTATTTGTGGCACAATGTAGTAATCTAACATAATCTATAGTGATAAAATTAGAACAGTTCAGATTTCCATCTTCATAGACTTTAAAAAAAAAATCTTTGCTGGGTAGTGGTGGCTCCTGCCTTTAATCCCTGCACTCCGGAGACCGAGGCAAACAGTTCTGAGTTCCAGGGTAGCCCGATCTACAGAGAGAGTTCCAGGACAGCCAGGACTACACAGAGAACCCCTGTCTCGAAAAACAAAACCAAACAAGCAAACAAACAAAAACCCTTTGATCATCATGTGAGAGTGATACATATTTATGCAGCTGAAGGGGTGGAACAGGAGGATATTATAGTAAATGAAATAAGTCAGACCCAGGAAGGTAAACACTGTAAGTTCTCTTTGATAGAAATATGCTTTTAAACAGTTAAAAGTGAATGTGTGGTGGTGATATCTAGAGGGAGGGAAGAATAGAGAAGACAGAATGGTAGGGGGTTGGATAACAGGTATCAAAATACAGTAGTAATAAGATCCAGTGTTCGCAGCAACATGCAACATATTCTACAAATAACCAGAAGGGAAGTGGCCAAAACTCCAAACACAAAGTTATGGTAAGAAGAAAGCTTTGATTATTGCACACTGTATATGTATATTAAAATATATTATAGAAAAAAGAAAAATATTATATTGTACCAACTCAGTGTCTTTAAATTTGTTCTGTAACTGTCTAAACACCCAAATCATGTTTTCATTTCCTCCTGTTTTTTTTTTTTGCATTCTCTTTCTGTGCCACCTGATGCAAACTAAGTTATTTAATGCAGTTATTATAGCAGAATACACAAAAGTAAGCGTGCTTTATCCACAGTGAAAAGTAGCTCTATTTTGGAGAGCTGTGCATGGTGTGAATCTGTAAGCCTAGAACTCCAGAAGCTGAGGTGGGCTACCCTGAGATGAAGGCTGGTTTGAACTACACAGTACGATCCCATCTCGAAAAAATAAATGAGGGGCCGAAGAGACAGCTCAGCAGTTAAGAGCGCTTTTGGTGTTCTTTCAGAGGACTCAAGTTTGGTTCCCAACACCCATATCAGGGAGCTCGTAACCAGCTAGAACTTCAGCTCCCAGTGATCTGACACCCTCTTCTCACTTCTGAGGGCACCTGTATGGATTTCATACACATATGTGTATACATACAAAATAAACAATAATTTTTTTCAAGTAAAACGAAGAGAGGGATATAGCTAGTGGTAGCATGCTTGTCTGCAGGGGGTAAGCTTTGGGTTTGATGCTTACAATTAGGGAAAATAAAAGCATGTTGATCTTTTGGCTTCTGCATTTTGAAAGGCATCAATTTTACTAGTATAAATACAAATCAAGTTGGACAACATTTAAATTTTTTATAATTATTTTTACAATTCATTTTTATTTTTATTTTATGTGTATGGATGTTTTGTCTGCAAACATCTATATGTAACTTGCATGCCTGGTACCTAGAGAGGCAAGATAAAGGCATTGGATCTCTTGGAATTGGATTTGTAGACCGTTGTGAGCTATCTTGTGAGGGAATTGAACCTGGGTCCTCTGGAATTACAGCTTAACCGCTAAGCCATTTTTCCAATTTTAAAACATGAAAATACTTCTATACTTTTATTGGTAATGCTGCCACAGTGCCAGTATGACTATTTTAATGAGCAATACTTTGAAGGTTGATAACTTTTTAAAATGTGTTGGATGGCATTGGGTATAAAAGGGACCATAACGTAACGCATTGGTCTGTCTTACCAAGTAATCAAGCTCCTCATTTAGATTGTGGTATTTATCCAGTTTGACTGCCAATAACACAGGTGCATCTCTGGCATTCCTGGCTTCGTCCACATCAAAATTTGTGACCTGAGATTAAATATGTTTGCACAGATTATAGTAGTTACACACTCCTATCATTTCACAGTGTCGTTGAGAAATAAAGATGGGGGCTGGAAAAATAATTGGCAGTTAAGAGAATTCGCTGATCTTGCAGAGGTCCCAGATTCACTTCCCAGCACTACATGGTGGCCTCACAAACATCCGTAATTTCAGTTCCATGGGAGCTAATGCCCTCCTCAGGCACTTCTCAGGCACTGCGTACATGTGGTGCATAGACATGCATGAAAAACACACATAATTTTTTTTAAGACTGAGGGTTGAGTGACATGTGACTAGATTTCTTAGAAGTACATAATTTGCTGGGTGGTGGTGGTGCTCGCCTTTAATCCCAGCACTCAGGAGGCAGAGGCAGGTGGAGCCTTTAATCCCAGCACTCAGGAGGCAGAGGCAGGTGGATCGGTGGTGTGAGTTCAAGGCCAGCCTATCCTGGTCTACAGAGCAGTTCCAGGGCAGTCAAGGCTATTTAAGAGTTAGGACTTCAGGAAACTTGGCAAGAGAGCATCAATACCTTAGTGTATTAGCATGTTGAGGACAAAGCATAATGTGTTAAACTCACCTCAAGAGTGTGATGCTGAAGTGCTTTTTCATTAGCAATTAACTCTTTAAGAGTTGCAATTCTGTTTTTATGTTTCAATAACTAGAAAAAAGCATTTTATATTTTAGAGGAAAAGAAATAAAATTACCTGCTAGAACATTTACCATAAAGTCATGCAACCACACAAAGTCCAGTTAATGATTTCACCACTTTCCTGATGAAGAGTTTCTACAGCAAGCCCAAGACTGCTATGCTTAGCAAGACCAGCTAGCAAGTCACCTGGAGCCCTGATTTGCATGAGGTTTCTATGGCCCTTGCTACGGATGACTCACTAGGCCAAACTCTGTTGTTCACAGAATGTTATGTAGACTGAACTCTTGCTTTCTGGTGGGTGGAACTTTGGTACATGATTTCCCCAATAAAAATTCTATGGGCAAATGGTTTTCCTGAACTTCCCTGGTCTATTTGACCCTGTGATCACTAGTTAGTGCTGAGAAAATGATGTGCAGACTTCTGTGATTTCTCCAGCACACCTGGGAACCTGGTTCCTTCCAATGCGGCCCCACTGTGCCTTTGCCTGGCTGCTTTTACCTGGTAGCCTTTTGGTATAAGATATCAGAGCTAGGGGTATAGCCAGATGCTAAGTCATGTTCAATGCCTGGAGTTCATGGTGGAGGTAAGAACCAACTCCTGAATATTGACTTCTGACTGCCACACATGTGCTGTGTCCCATATGCACTGCCCCAACATATACACATTGATAAATACGGTTAAATTTAAATGTTTGGAAAAGGCAATGGAGAGACTCTAGGTACTTCTGCTCTGACCCTTCTTCCCAATGAAGAAATAAAGGGTTTGTTTTAAATGTGTCCAAGTGGCAAAGTTTGAAGCCACTATAAGGACTGTCAAAACAAACTCCTTAGGAATCAGTAATGCCATGGGAAAATGAAAAAAATGTAAAAAATTTATTACACTTCTGTGACGCGAGCGCCTGTGTGTGTGTGTGTGTGTGTGCGCGCGCGCGCGCGTGCGCGCGCGCGCGCGCGCGTGCGTTTGTGTTCATGCATAGCAGTCAGAGGGAAACTTTGGGGAGTTTATTCTTTTCTTCTACCATGTGGGTCCCAGGGGTTGAATTCAGGTCACTGGGCATGGTGGCCTTTGTCCCTAGCTACTGAGCCATCTCATCAGTCTCTGTGAATAAAATTTCCCAATGTAGATTTTTTAATTTTAAAGCAAGTCAAATTTTGGCTAGTGTATCTACTTCTAACAAGCATAAGAAGCTAGTCTGGTCCCCGAGCACTTCTTTTAAAAATCCAAAGCTTTAGAAGCAATGTTCTGTGATGTTTTAACTATTTCATCCCACTACAGCGAATCTGGTTTTAGAATGAAGAATACAGCACCTCTTTATCTAAATCTCTCTTTTGAAGCTGAAGGCTCTTCAGTTTTTGCAGCATTATGTCATTAGTTTTCTTACTGTCTTGGCAATGTTCAGCATCAGAATTGGTGATATCCTAAGGATAATGGTTTGAGAAACTAGATTGAAAATTTTTCTCTGAAGCGAAGGAAAACCGCCTTTCAGAAATAAGGGACCAAAGGAGATAAATCACATTGAGTCCATGCTTCCAACACTCTTCATTATCTCACTAGGAGTTAAGAAGGCCTGCGCGTGACTCACACATGCATATACATTGCTATTAAGAGTGGATAGTGCCCAGCAGTGGTGGTGCACACCTTTAATCCCAGCACAGGAGGCAGAGGCAGGTAGATCTCTGAGTTTGAGGTCAGCCTGGTCTGTAGAGTGAAGGCTACACAGAGAAACCCCATCTCAAAAACCAATAAACCAATAATTAATAAAACAAAAAACATGGCAAGCGATGCATTCATATTTCAGCTCAGGTGAGTGTACTTAAAATGGAAGAAATGCACAACAGAAGAAAAGGCTAATTTGAAAATCTAGCAAGTACACTCCCTTTCATATTGTTTTTGTGAAGTGCAGTTGCTGCCCAGGACAGGGCAAATATGGTTCCTTATTTAAGGAAACAGGCCAAGAAAGGTCATGTTACTTGGACAAGTCACATAACCAAGGCATGCAAGGCCACAATTTGAACTCATTGATAATTCACTTAAAATCATCTATCTATCTATCTATCTATCTATCTATCTATCTATCTATCTATCTATCTATCATCTATCTATCTTTACCTGACATGTGAGAAGTCCTACTGTCAGGGCCAAAAGACTGTGAATTCTAGAGGCCAGTGGAGAAGTTCTCTTCACAGGTGGAAGTTCCGAGGTTTCTTTACAAGGCGAGCAATTCAGGAACAAATTAGAAGGTAGCCCCTTTGCACCCTATACGTACACAATTCAGATTTGTCATAATAAAGTCAGAAGATCCATATTAGCTTTTAAATAAGTTGCGGGTAAAACACTATGTTTAAAAGTACTGAAGCATTCTTCCTTGGGATGCCTTGATACTCTTAAAATTTATTGAGAAAAACAAAACACAACTTTAAAAACAAAAAAATATTGAGGACCATGTTTTTCATATTAGAAATTGTAACAGAATATTTTAAGTGTTTGTTTACTAATTCATTTGGCTAACAATCCATTATGCCTCAACATAAATAGGCCTCTTATTAAAATTATGTTCTCCAAAATAACAGTGTTAGTGGAGGAGCAGTTTTCTAGTTTTTGCAGTTTAGCGGGCACTGGGGATCAGCTTCAGGGTCTCACTTGTGCTAGGCAGGTACTACTCCTATCCCTACCTACAACCCTGGCTCATTTGCAACTAATTTTAATTCTATAGTTGGAAAGGTGGCAGGACTCTTATCTTGGACTCACACCCTGTGGTGGTTTGAATTAGAATGTCATCAGAGAGTGGCACTTTTTGAAAAGATTAGAAGGATTAGGAGGTGCGGCCTTACTGGAGTAGGTGTGGCCTTGTTGGAGGATGTGTGTCACTGGGGGTGGGCTTTGAGGTTTCAAAAGCCCATGCCAGACCCAGAGTCTCTTGTGAAGCTCTCAGCTACTGCTTCAGTGCCTGCCTGCATGTCGCTATCCTCCCTGCCAATAGGAAAATGGATTGAACCTCTGAAACTATAAGCAAGCTCCCAATTAAATGTTTCTTTTTATAAAAGTTGCCCTGGCCATAGTGACTAATACACATCCCATCAGCCTGGAGGGCAATTATGTCACCATACATCATACAGCTTCTAAAATACTATCCATCTGAGAAATAACAATGGGAAAAGCACTGATGTCTTTGAGAGTGGTCATCAAAGTTAGTATTCCCACATGCAGAGCCAGAATCTTCACCACTTATATACCCCTGCACATCCTTTAAAATGTTAAGAGCATGTTGCCTAGGCTGGCTTTGAACTTGGAATCCTTTTGCTTCAGACCCTAAATGTCTGAGATTATAAGCATGTGCAGCAATCCAGCAAGAATGTCTTTTTTCCCATGCTATTAGCTTAGTTACAAACATATATGGTATGCTATATGAGTTCCAGAGTCTGATCCACTTCTCAAACTGATTTTTCCTTTTAAGAACATTCTTCGTCGAGTTTCCAGTCATGACCCAGCTGCAGAGGAAACAAGATGTGACTGCCTTGCTTAAAGAGGTACCAAGACATGTGGCTAACATAGACAAGAAATATGGGCTAATATAAGTTACAAGAATTAGTTAATAAGAAGAGCCTGAGATACTGGGCCAATCAGTTTATGATTTATGTAGACCTCTGTGTGAATTCTTTGGGACTGAATGGCTGATGGCTGTGGGACTGGGCAGAACAGAAACCTCAGTCAACAAATGGTGCCCAACATGTGGACAAGTGTATTCACAGAAAACCTAAGAGAGCTTGGGAACAGAGTTAAGCATGGCTTCTTGGTAGCAGCAATTTCTTGACTTTTTTCTGCTTCCTAGAGGCAAGCACATCTCATTTAAGAGAGGCTTCCTGACTCCGCTTTAGCTGCAAAACCTTTCAGCTCTTTTAAGAGGTCCTGACATGAAACACTTAAATGGTATTGATGAAAAACTGACTGCATGCTTTTGGTGGTGACAAGGACCTTGAGATGCCATAGAGTTGTGGAAATAAACATGGCTCTGGCTGGAACCTCCACCATGAGGCTAGAATCTCAGAAAGCTAAGAAATGGGCTGGATCCAGCTGTTAAAGCCACAGCTTTAATCATAGCCATATTGCTTAGTGAATTAAAGACTCATATGGTCAGCAAAAGAGAGATATACAGTAAAGAAAGATTCAGATGAAGAAAACCTCTAAATGATTTAGAGTGTGTTTAAAAATATATGTAGGCTTGGGAGATAAAACAAAAAGGATAAATGTCCTTAAAAGAAAAAAGAAAAAAAAAGAGTAGTTGGGTGTGGTGGCACACATCTTTAATCCCAGCACTTGGGAGGCAGAGGCAGATGGTTCTCTGTGAGTTTAAGGACAACCTGGTTTACAGAGTGGGTTTTAGGACAGCCAAAAGATACACAGAGAAACCCTGTCTCAAAAAGCCAAAAATTAAAAGAAATAGAGTTTAAAATAAAGCCATGTAAAAGATGGAAAACACATAGAGAATCTGGATACTGTATGTTATTGTGCTCTCTTTGAATTGTTTGAATGCTGAGGAAGGAGCAACAGCTGCTAACAGATATTTATTTATAAATTCTGCTGAATTAATCCAAGATAGATATTTTGAAAGTACCTTGACTTCAAAATTGAAGTCAAAAGGTATCTTACTTTGGAGAAGAGGTTTTGCTTTTGTTTCCACAGGAAATGAGAGACTGTGGATTCATTCCAGGTTAAGAAAAATTGAGTTTGCTCAAAGATGACCCCCTGAGAAATCTCTGTTAGGAGTGGGTGGCCCAGATGTCTGAGTTTTACAGTCAGAGCAAATTCAAGACTACTGGCTGAGATGATCAAGCATCACAGAATTTTCCAGTCAGGACTTTACCACAATTCTAACTTTTCTTTAGGTCCCTGTAAGATTATCAGTACCCCAAAATCAGCAGGAAGTAGCCTGAAAAACTATACCCACATTCCCAAAAAATGGACTATGGATATTTTTCTTTGTTTAGAATATTGGTTACAAGTTGTTATGGATATTGGTCAGGAGAAACACTAAATAAAGGGTATTAGATTCAGAGTTCTTGTTTAAAAACAAAGGGGGAGTACTGTGAGACAACAGTTACTTATCTTGTCACTTGTATTATTTTTAATAAAATGCTGATTGACCGGTAGCCAGGCAGGAAGTATAGGCGGGGCAACCAGGCAAGAAGTAGAGGTGGGGCAATGAGAACAGGAGAATTCTGGAAAGAGGGAAGCTCAGTCTCCAGTTGTGACCCAGCCGCAGAGGAAGCAAGATGTGACTGCCTCACCAAAAAAAATACCAAGCCACATGACTAACATAGACAAGAAATATGGGGTAATATAAGTTATAAGAATTAGTTAATAAGAAGAACCTAAGATACTGGGCCAGTTTATGATTAATGTAAAAATAAAAAGAACATTCTTTGTAGCTGTCAAATGAATAAAAATATTTTATTGTTTATTACATTTCACTTCATTTTGTGTGTGCAACACATGTGGATGTCACAGAACAATTTTGGGGAGTCAGATCTTTGCTTCTACCATGTGTATTCCAATAACTGAACTCAGGTTCTAAAGCTTGATGACAAGTGCTTCTCCCCATGGAGCCGTCTTGCTAGTCCCCAAACCATATTTCTTAAGCAGCTTGTGTCTTACTATAAAGGTATGACCAGGCAAAAAAATAGTTGCTCACACCTGTAATCCAAGCAACCAGAAGTCTAAAACAGGAAGATCACCACAAGTCTGAAGCTAGTCTAGGTTACATAAGAAAATCCTGTCTCAAAATAAGGGGACAGGGAGAGAAGGAAGGAGTAGCAGATGCAGATCGAAAGACTAGGACGATCATAACCAGTGACTGCCACTTGTTTTCCACTGAGAATAACAAATGCTTCCTGGGCCCTCATCTCAGTGGCTCTGATGCTCTGCCCCAGAAGGACTTTATTAGGAACATGGAAAAAAACACTGACATGGAAGGCAGAAGAAATAGCTACACCGCACCAATAATGTCTTAATATTACTATGAAAATACTTTTGACCTCACAGATGCTCTCAGAGCATATTTTGAGAAAATGGACCTAGATTAAAGAGCAAAATGAGTGTGAATTTGGAGATGCTAAAGAAATTCTTTAGTCAAGATCAGGAGATTGACTTTTTTTTCCCAGTTATTTTCTCTCTATTGGAATTCTTTTTTTTTAATTTTAGTTTTATTGATTTTTATTGAGCTCTGCATTTTTCTCTGCTCCCCTCCCTGCCTCTCCCCTCCCCTTCAACCCTCTCCCCAGGTCCCCATGCTACCAATTTACTCAGGAGATCTTGAGGAAATTGACTTCTTAATATGAAAACAAATGAAAAAAATACGTCATGTTAAAACCATCTGGAAAGGAAGGTTCCATGATTCCAGCAGAGCTAAACTCAAGGTCTCTGCTAAAGGGAGGCACTCTGAAGTGTGGTCCCTGAAACAACACCATCTCTTCCCCTCAAAGGATCTTGCTAGAATATAATGTTCTCTAGTCAACAAACCCTCCTTGCCATGCTGTGCATGCCCAAGTTTGGGAGTCCCTGATCTAGGTAATTCCTGGAGAGCTCTTTAGTTCGTGTGTTTTCAAAACTAAGATAACAGCAGTATTTTCCCAAAAATAAAAAAATAGATTTTACTCTCAAATAACACTTATAATTATTATGAGAATGATTCCATAATATGTTCAAAGCAATATACCAGCTCCATTCAAGTTGTTACAACATGAAAATCAATACAGTTGGGCACGGTGGCACATGCCTGTAACTATGTGGGAGGCAGAGGCAGGGAAATCACAGGAAACAGGAGGCCAGTTTGGTCTACATAACAAGACCATCTAAAGCCAACCGATCAACCAACATTTAAATAATAATTTTTAAGGTAAAATAGACTTGTGCAATTTTCTGGCTCAAACTGGCTTGCTTTCTTTACCTTGGCATACACTACCAGAGTTCCCAGACCACCTTCCTTCCTAACCAGTCAACTGACATGATTTTACTTTACCTAGGCAGTGCAGTGGCTCAAACCTGCAAATCTAACACTTGGAGTCACAGGCATTAGCATTTTGAGCTCAAGGCCAGTCTGTTACAAGCTAATCAAAACAGATTTTCAATTTTACTCTACTTAGATTCATATACTTTGGCGGGTGGTGGTAGTGCATGCCTTTAATCCCAGCACCCGGGAGGCAGAGGCAGGTGAATTTCTGTGAGTTCAGGGGCCAGCCTGGTCTACAGAATAAGTTCCAGGACAGGTTCCAAAGCTACACAGAGAAACCCTATCTCAAAAAAAAAAATTGTAAAAAAAGAAAAAGGAAAGAAAGGAAGGAAGGAAGGAAGGAAGGAAGGAAGGAAGAAAATTCACATACTTTAAGGAAAAAATATAATAGGTGTGTCCTGACTTGGGAAAACTACCCCTTCCTGGACGTACTTTTAGGTATTTTGCTAAAGAAGACAAGCAAAACAAAGCTTTAGAATGACATTAAAAATTCAGTTTCTCTAAAGGTATTGATAAAAGGTTCCAATGCAGTGTTTTCAATGCTTTATAATTTTACAAGTAATATGTACTATAGTTTTACTTTGTAAGAAAAAGAACAATTTTATTGCTAAATTGGGTTTGAAACCACACTTCAAGAATTCTCTGGTAGTTGAGCCAGTTAAAATAAATCAGGCATGTCCTACAATTCCCCCCACAACAATGGAGAAGGAAGGAAAGGAAGAAAGGAAAAAGTCCTTTTTCAAAGGACTCTTCAGATGATCCTCAGGACTCATCACGGGTACCCATAAAATTCCCAGGTTAATAGTCACCTCTACCAAAACCAACACAAAAAGCCAAGAATTATTGTTCTTTAAGGTGAGTGCCTAGAAACCAGTAGAAACATCTCTAAATTGGTGGTACATTTCCTCTTCTCTCTCTCTTTTTAAAACAAAATAAGACAAACAAACAAACAAATCCAATTCCTCCTACAAACAAATGCCATATCTGAGTATCAAGTCTAAATGTCCGTAGCTAGACTACTTGAAACTCTGGGGGGGCTGTGTTAGACATTCGGCATCTGCATCAATACCTGGGTGCCATCTGGCTCCATCACTTCCTCCAGCTGCTCTCTTGACTGAATTATCTCAAAGTTAGGGGTGCCAATGTGCACCTCCCCCTTTGCAGACTGCTGCCAGAGCCCTGTGTTTTCCTGTCCCAGCTCATCCACCTGCTGCTGGAACTTCGTAGTTTTAGCCCTCTCCTTCTCACAGGTGAAGAGCAAATTCTTCACTTGGGCCGTCAGCTTCTCAACTCTTGATTTCAATTTCCGCCTTTCTTTCAGGTACTCCTTTTCCCATTTCTGGAATTCCTCCTGAAAAAACAAGATCTCTTGTTTGCGGGTCTCCTTTTCCCTTTTCAACAAGTTCAAAGCGGAACTGGTAGCTTTCTCCAGCTCTCCTTTGTATCGCTGCAGTCTTTGCAGCTCTTCGTCTTTCTTGCTTAGGGTCTTCTCTATCTCCAGGTACTGACTGACCGATCTGTTTTTCTGCTGTATCTCGGCGACGTACCTTTCCTGTAAATGGACATAATGGATCTTGATCTTTTTAACCTGGAGCTGCAAGGTCTCCTTGTCTTTCTTGGTTTCCTGAAGATGCTTTTTGGTGTTAGCCAAAACCTCCTGCAGATCCTGGAATTTCTTGTTGATATCATTCTTCTCCAGGAGTACGTTGTATTTGTCGTCAATTAACTCCTCAATGTTCTCCTTCAGTTTATTTATGATGTCAGCCAAAACTTGCTGTTTGGTGACCTTCGTCTGTAGTTCTTTAACCCTGTTTTCTAAGTACAAATTCCTCTCGTGGAGCTCTTGGATCTGCATTTCCTGTTTCTTGTTAATCTGTTTTAATCTCTGCAAGGCTTCATTTAAAGCCACGTCCTCTTCCAGGGGCTCCAAGCTTTCAAGGCTTAGCTCCCTATCAGGCACCGTGCAGTTGTCCTGAGATCTACTCTTGGAGATGCCCGCTGGAGACCAAGGAGTTATGGCTAGGCTGTCTACACCGTCTTCTGTGACTTGCTGCTGGTGACTAACGGACGTCTCGGAAATTTCCCCAGAATGCTGCATTTCTTTTGAAGAAACTTCAGGCTGTAAATTACAGTAGATAAAATCAACGTGAAAGAGTAGACTGCTGAGTGTAACTCCCATCTACATGGCAGAGAGAAGCAGTAGGCGTACGCAAGAAATGTGTATCCTATTTACTGAGACAAAAGAAAAAAATCTATTTGGACTCTCATCATCTTCTATGATGTAAACCCTGGTCACATACAAGGTATTTTCTTTGGTTTCAAAAATCAATTAAGCAACTGTATCAATTACCCTATAGACTACAAGATCTTTTGAGTAAAGAGCTTTAATAATATCCTGCTTAGAACATTATTTCATCCATGCTGACTCCTGTGAACATTAGAATGGCAGACATACTTCATGATTGACTTTATGCTCACAATATGTTGTTTGGTGGGGGTGTACGTAACAAAAGACTCCACAATTGTGGTATAGGACTCTGAAATGAATATCAAATTAAAAACCATTTATGAAGCATCTGTAGGGGCAGTATTATATCCACCTGGAGATGCTGAGCCCCTTTACTTTTAAGGGCTTTTCATTGCTCTGGGACAAAGTCAGTTATCTAACCAAGATTCCCAAGATTCCACTAACTGCTATAGATAGCAGACCCTACCACCCTGTCCTCATCCTCGTCCCTACCCCTGCTTCCTGCAGCCCCATGTTCTTTGGACTCTAGGCTTCCTTGAGGTCCTTGTAGGTATCATAGACCTTAAAGATGCAGGAAGCCCATAGATATATTGTTCCTTATTCATGAAATGCTTCTCAACCCACAATTGTTTCACTCATCAGAGCTCAGTCCAAGGACTACTTCAAAGAAGCCTCCACAGACTCTCTTGCCTGGTGAAGTGCCCTCTGCAGAGGCAAGCATCACTCTGTGTAGTGCTAAGAGTCAAGTGCACAGAGGTTTGTGTGATTACTTGGCTAATATCTGTCTCCCTTACTAGGATATTTTCATGAAGACAAGAGCCATGTGCTTTTCTTGCTGGGGCTGGATTGTTTTTAACATTCTATAACTATTACATAGCCTGTCCTAGTACATAATAGATTCATGGAAATACCTAATGACTACGTGAAAAAAAGACTAAATGCAACGGGGAAAGAAATAAAGAGTCTTGAGAAACCTTAACTAAACAGATCTTGGAAACTGGTTTCTAGAAATCAACATGCTAAGCTAAGTTTTCTTTCGAATGCTGCTAATTTCCATATGAATGAACAGAACAGCCTACTCATAGTCACAGACAGGTGAGTAATACCTTTTCTTATGAAATGCATGCTGAAAACGTGATATTTACACTCCCATAGGACTAAACTCTTCTGCTGAGGTTGTTCAGAGAATACACAGACTTGATGTCGTCAGTGCTGTTAGGATATCACCGGTGACCACAACCAGTGAAACCCAAGACAAGTCCAACAAAGCTGACAAATCTTTGGCTTGTTTTGTCATATAACTAATAAACACCTCTGCACAAGCTCCCTTTCTCAGCCTTTCCCACAAGGCCATCTCTCCAGTCTCAGCTAGTTTGTCGTGGTGCACGTAAGAATGCGTCCTACTTAAGGCACCATGTTGATACCATGCCGTGTACATATTAAGGAGCAGGACGGCGAGTCATAGTCTTTAGCGAGATCACACTTCGGAGACCTACTCTAGTTACGGCCTGACGTGAAGACCCCTCAGAAGCACAGGCCCTTGAGCTGATCAGACGATTTAACGATATTTGGAAAGTCTCAGCTTCTGTGTTTTTAAACAATAAAAACACCCCTGTATCTGTTAACATGCCACAGGCTCTCATGACCCCACCGATCAATCTTACCTCCTCTATTTCATGATCAGTTCTCAAGTCAAGCAGGTCTAAGCAATCCTCAGTATCGAATGAACTTTCACCGCTAGCACAGCCATTTTCTCTACGCAGAAAGCTTTGAGGCTGACTGGTGTTGAAAGTGACATCTACGACAGTGCTTTTAGCCAGTGACTTTTCCATCAATGGCTGCGTTTCTCCTGTGTCATAGTTTAGAGGCAGACTTCCAGATTTCCTGACGTGCTCGTGAACACGTTGGTCTTGGTTTTCGGAAATCCTAGTTTCCATTGGATTCTCTCCCTTGAGTGCGTAGGGCTTCTCACTGGCGTCCGCTGTATTATACTCATGGTTTTGCAGCTCAGGCTTCTCCAGGGAAGAAAAGGCCTCGCTCAGGTCTTGAAATATCATCTCATCATTAAATGCTTCTATCCAGTGAAATTTGCAAATGGGTTCAAATTGTCTCGAGGAAGAAACCCTAGTGTTAGCTGGTTGATTCTGTACACCCTCTGAGTAATTCCCAAGGTTGATATCTTATTAGAAAAAGAAAAAAGATAATGAGTTACCATAAACTTATAGAATAACTGTTGCACTTAAAATAAATGTTGAGCTCTCTCTCTCTCTCTCTCTCTCTCTCTCTCTCTCTCTCTCTCTCTCTCTCTCTCTCTGTGTGTGTGTGTGTGTGTGTGTGTTTTGTTTTGTTTTTCGTGACAGGGTTTCTCTGTGTAACAGTCCTGGCTGTCCTGGAACTTGCTTTGTAGAACTGGCCTCAAACTCACTGAGCTCCACCTGCCTCTGCCTCTCAGGTGCTGGGATTAAAGGTGTGAGCCACCATCACCTGGCTACTTTTCCTTTTTTTAATATAGCACCTCACTATTGAGGTTAAGACAACTCAGACTCATCCTCCTCTTGCCTTTACCTCCAAGTGCAAGGATTACAGGAATGTGCACCAATGCTTGATTTAGGTTTCATCCCTAGCATCCACAACTGTCCAGTTCCAGTCCCGGGGGATCAGACGCCCTCTTCTGGCCTCTGAGAGCACTGCATGCACCTAGTGTGCACATGCATGCAGACAAAACATTCAAACACAAAATAATATATGTGTACGTATGCATATAAGTATATATATATATTCACGCTTTGAAAAAGGATAGGGTAACATAATTTCAAACACACAAACATGTTTAATTTTTATAAGTTTACAATACTGGAGAGGCAGAAGCAGGCAGATTCCCAGAGCTCACTGGCCACCTGGTCTAGCGAATTGGTTAACTGGTTTGGTCTGAAATTCTGTCTAAACAAATTAGGTGCTGAGCAATAGAAGAAGACACCCAAAATTGACCTTTGGCATACACAGGCGCGCGCACACACACACACACACACACATGCATACATACACCAGCCCACAAGGTGTCAAGTCAACTGTAGGATAAAAGACAGTGTAAATGCATTTTCTTATCCTTTATCCTATTAAATGACAAATTCAGCTGTTTAAAATAGTCAAGTTCTACACAACTAACACCTCATCAGCTCTCTGAAAACCTGCATGTGCTAAAAGAAAATTGCAGGGCTTGGTACCATCTGTAACAGCCGTACTGACTACTTAGGGAAGCTGCAGGGTGCCATAGATACCGTAGGTGCGCTGGAACCTGATTGTACAACACCATTCCTGCTTTTCTAGTCAGAGACGGTAAAAAGAGATGATGTATGGCTCACTGAAATAGTGAACTACTTCGAGCTAGCAAATGAGGTCTGAATGACATGCAGCATTTGAGATAGCCTCAAATTTCAAAATGCCTTACAATCTCCCAGGTAAGCTATGGTAACTACAAACTATAACATTTTTACAGAAACAGCATGGTTATATCAATTCTTAGAAGTCTTTCAGGACTGAGGGGGGCGCTCAGTTGGTAAACACTTGCCTTGCAAACACAAGAACCTGAGTCCAACACCCGGGACCCACATAAAATGCTGGGCATGGTGGTACACGCAGCAGCATGCCCTTATAATCCCAGCACTGGGAAGGCGGCAGCAAGAGTATGTCTGGGGCTCACTGGCTTGCCAGTCTAGTCTAATTGGGGAGCTCAGAACAATGAGAGACCACGTCTCAAAGAGGATGGGAAGCCTTCCTGAGTCCTCTGGCCTACTCACATGCCTGTGCATGCTTTAAGATGCATATATTAAAAGGCATTTTGGAAAAAGTAATAGAGCATTTGCCTAGCATGTAGGAGTCACTAGGTTTGACCTCCAGCGCTATAAAATAAAACCCTCCAGTCTTTAATTTCAAATTTTCCTTTTGAGACTCAGCCACATAGATACATGTAAATCTAATTCACTATACTGACAGATTACATTTTTAAATTTTACTTATTACTTAATTTGTTCCTAATGTTGCTGTCAAAACCAGCATGTTTTTGAACTGGACATCCTTGTACACTAGCATGTCTTATCTCCCGGTATAGAGAAATGGAATAGATGGGTTCTAGAAAATGCTCATCTTAAACTTTGTTAGATATTGTGAGGCCACTCTCCCAAGCAGTTGTATCAATGTAGATACTTCTTCTAGGAATGGAAAATAGTTCTTTTAGATCACCTGGGAGACGGGCTCTCTGCATGTCTGTCTGGGACTGTCTTGGTTATGGTCATCTTTATGTTCACTATAGTTAAGGTCTTAGCTGTAGTGGAACCTTTCCCTGGACAGGGATCTTGGGCTGTTAAGGAGGAAAGAACAAATTGGACAGTAGTAGCACACACTTTTAGTCCCAGCACTCAGGAGGCAGAGGACAGACAGCCCTGTCTACAAAGAGAGAGAGTGGGGGGGGGGGGAAGAGAGACAGTGGAATATTATTTTAACTATGTAAATATGTGATACGTTTGTTTAATTATGTAAAGATGTGTTGCTGTTTCACCTTGCCTGATTGGTCTAATAATAAAGCTGAATGGCCAATGGCTAGGCAGTAGAGGGTTAGGTGAGGTTGGAGGGCAGAGAGAATAAGTAGGAGGAGGAATCTAGGCTCGAGAAGAGAAGAGAGGAGGAGAGAACAAGGGAGAGAGAACAAGAGAGAAAGAGAGAGAGACACCTAGGGCAGTCGGTCAGACACAATACGACATACAGAATAAAAGAAAGGTAAAAAGCCCCGAGGCAAAATGTAGATGACAAGAACACGTTAATAAAAATGATAAGAGCTGAGAATTCATAACTAATAATAAGTCTCTGTGTCATGGTCTGGGAGCTGGTTGGTGGCTCAAAACAGCCTGTTACAGAGAGAGAGAGAGAGAGAGAGAGAGAGAGAACAAACTAGCACTTAAAAAATAATTTATTGGTAGCTCCTGACTATAGATGAAATTTGGCTGTCTGCCTCAAGTTCCTGCTGCTTTGAATTTCCTACTGGACCTTGAACTGTGTGCTAAATAAACCCTTTCTCCTTTAAGTGTTTTTTTTTTTTTTGTCAGTATTGTTTTTATTTATCTATTCTTGTTTTTTGAGACAGAGTCTCACTAAGTCTTGGTTGGTCTGGAACTGGCCATATGAACCAGGCTGGTCTCAAACTCCCACACAGAGATCTGCCTGCCTCTGCCTCTTGAGTGCTGGGATTAAAGGGATGTGCCTGGTGAAAATTAATATTTTGAAGCCCTAAGTCCAAACATTTTAGAATGTAATTATTTTGAGACTTTATTTGGTCTTTAAGGAAGTGATCAAATGTCATGAGAAGTGTAATTCCTAATCCAGTGGGGGTCCTTACATGAAGAGAAAGGCACTGCAGACCAAGGGCCATGGGTGAGCACAACAGAGGAGTGGCCACCTTCAAGCTGAGGAGAGAGACTGAACCTGGGCTCAGGGCCTCCTGTATAAGTGACATAGCCTGTGTTAATTCATACCAGCCCTAGAGAACAGAAGCTTACTGTCTGGGTTGTCTATTGAGTTAGGTGTTGTTTTTCGTGTTGGAATTCTTTATTTTGGGATCTCAATTTACTGCCAGTTT